CTCCCCCCTCAGACAAATAATAACTCGAAATGTATCTTTAAAAAAAAAAAAAAGTATACATTTGTATCCAAGCTGGTTCACGTAACCCACGATTTGTTACTATTAGTTTATTTTGCTGATGATGAGAACAGCACCATACAGCTCATTCTAAAAACATCTGGTGTGTTTAGGTTGAAGAGAAAAATGACAAAATCGATATTTACAAAGCCCTACCTTGTGTCACTTTCATTCTCTGCGTTATACAGATGTTTCAGTTACACAAAGTTTTATAAAAGGTGTATATCCGAGTGCTGAGTCACACACGCAGCATTTAGCCATTTCGTTCAGCCAAACTCCCTACCAGATCATTTTTTTGCCCTATCAACAATAAACTGAAAAGATGAAGCAAGAGATTTAAGTGTCTATCTGTTGTTTTGGCGTTCACACTGAGAGCATTTTGAGGGTTATCCGCATCAGCAAGGCAGCCTGGTCTCTTACAAATGACTTTCCCATTTAGCGAAACTGCACTTTCAATTGCGTTTCCGTGGAAACTTATTTCCTCCTGGAATACGTTTCTATCAGTCCGCTGAAGTCTGGTATAGAGGAGGTTGATGCCATGCCATTTTCCCGAAGGAAAAAAGTCACAAAAATGTCCCTTTGGACCGAAAGCCCATTTATCCAACAGCCCGTTATCCTGAAAACAAACACCCATTGTTCCGAGGGCCCATTGGTCCGAAATTACAAACTCTGCAACAACCTGTGCAACAAACAGAAGCACATGGCTAATTGTTATGCAAAAACGACTTTGTGGTAGCAACATTCCTACCATTCCTACAAGCAACATTCCTAACATTGCAAAAGCATGACCCACCATACTCTGCCACCAGTTGGCTTACCCTGATAGTCTTAGCCTATACCTAACAAACTCACTCCATATGTGTCAACCTAACCACCAAAGGCAATGTTTGAGTGGCAGAGTCCATAGGAAAAAATAGGAAAGGTCCGTTGACATCTTTCTGCATAATGATTTGCCATGTGTTTCTGTTTGTTGCATGAAGAGTTTGTATTTTCAGATAAATGGGCCTTCGGAACAACATGAGTTTCTTTTTGGGATAACGGGCTGTCGGATAAATGGGCTTTTGGTCCAATGGGACAGTATACACACTATTGGAGTTTCGGAATAATGGGCTGTTGAAACAACGGACTCTCCCCTGGAGCCTGGGATGGATTGGTTTGTCAACACAGGATTGTTTTACACAGGAGGTCTCTACTGTTAGTTTCCCGTGGGAAACCAAAAGTTACTTTATGTTAATTTACACCCATAACTTAAATAATGTGGCCAACGTACTTATGTTAAGCCAAACCATGATGTTTTACTAAACCTAACAAAGTTGTTTGGTTGCCAACATAGGACCAAGTAATTTTGTAGCGGTTTTATTTTGTTTTGTTTAAATGTATACGTTTGTATATGTATATGTTTAAAAATAAAATTCCCTCAAAACAAACTTGAGAATGCAGTTTAATTGTATGGGAACACAGTTTTGTAGGAGACAGGCTTCAGCATGGACATGAGTCTTTTAGGATTATAGCAACATGCAGATAAATGGCAAAGAGCAGCTAACCCGTCATGGGAAGTCTGAATCAACGTCACGTTTCCTGTCCTTGCCAGGAAGCGAGCTGGAAGTCTAGATTTCCACTACCACTGTTTCCTTTCCCGGTTGGAGGAATTAACACGATAAACACTCAGAGGGGGACACCAGCTCACTCTGCTCTCTGGTACTCTCACAGTGGAAAAATGTTTCCCCGCTGCTGTGCTTACGACCTCGTTTTTTTGTCTTCAGCAGGGCCTGACGGTGATACTTGCTGTCATTTGTTCTGTAGCTCTCTGATAACATCGCTACACTCTGTGTAGATTGTGATGCATTGTTCAGAAAAAGTGAAATAACGGCCGTGTTGAAAACCAACAGAATAAAAAAAGGGAACAGCTTTTCCCCTACAGCCTGTCACTATTCCTGGCAATTTAGTTTTGCCTTTTGTTCTCTACATTCTGTTAGCGCCTGTAAATGACAGCAGAACAAATTCGCACCTCCACCTTCCATTAGTCAGTCTTGCACATTTATAGTTGAGTCCTTCATAACTTATAAAACATACCCATTTTTCAATTTCATACACCCAGAAGTTTTCCTGCTACAGCCTTATTTTGTCTGTATATATGACCTGTAGCAGCTAGCTGTTTAGCTAATGCTTAGCTAACGTCTGCCAGTTTGCTGTCTTAATGACTCTTCTTTACTTATGCAACAGTTATATTATGTTTTACCTTTCACCATCATTTAGTAAGACAAAGTGCAGTGACTACTTCTTCTGCATATGTTACATAGTTTAAAATCTTCTGCTTTGAGGCTGTCTCATCGGTGTGAAAATAGACTTTCAGCCCAATTTGTGGCAGTTGTTCACTAGAGCGTTGACGGCGCAACAGAACTTTCGCGACATGCTTTGTGTTTTCCTAATAATTCCCGATAGTAGTATGTATAGAAGCGCGTGCACGTTCGCTGATGGCATGCAAGTCAGCAGCTGTCTGTGTCTGTACTGAAGCGTAATCAAGGCCTTAACCCCTTGGCCCCCCCAGGGCACCCCAGCCCTCATTTTGGCAACAATGGAAAATAAGCTCTCGTAAAGGTAATTGCTAAGATCCAGAAACAAGGCAACATTGGTAAAAAATAAGCCCAGGCAGGGCAGTGCAAGTTTTAAAAAACATACCTATGGAGAAAATTAAATATCACAATATTTTTTTACCAAATACCTCTATCAATATTGCGACAATAATGTTTGGTGGGTTGACCATTGGCACTTTTACAAAATTATATTTTTGATAAATAATCATCAGATATGGTTTTTATAATGGTGAAGCGAAATAATAGAATTGCTGAAAAGTTTGGAAAATTACATCACTTTACTGTAATTTAGCCTTTAAAAACAAGAAAAGTATAACACTAACACCATATTACAATATCCAAAATCTAAGACAATAGCTTGTCCTGTATCATACCATTCTTACTGACCAACATTTTGGGTGTGCTCACTTTTGGTTTTACCTCAAATTAAGGAGGCTTAGATAATCTGACTAGCCTGTTGGCCTTGAAATATTTTTCTGCGAGTAAAATGTTATCATAACTGATACAAAATGAAGGCCACAATTATGAACTGTAGCTCTAACAAAGCCATGTTATAACCTTAAATAACCCACTGCACACCAGCATGGGATGTACGGCCGCTGCACTCTCTCCCTCCTAACCTGTATTGGTCTAAATAAAGCAATACCCACATCTTAATGGACCACAGATGGAAAACCCAGTTTAGGGGCTAATTCACTTTGTGTGTGTGTGTGTGTGTGTGTGTGTGTGTGTGTGTGTGTGCGTGTGTGTGTGTGTGTGTGTTGAGATCCGAGAGCAGAGCATACATTAGCTGTAGATTAGCTTTAATTGTTGCGGGTGGATGGAGTTCACTGTACTTTTCACATTCAAGGATACATACATTGATCCTTCACCGGTGTGGAATAAGTCTCAAATAATAACGCACACACAAACACACATGTGGTGTCTGTCCCCGGTACAATGCGCCCGAGTTCACACTTATTAAATGGTGTTGGTATTGCTGCAACCTCCCCAGGCCTCTCTGTCTACTGGTGGAGGATATCGTCTCCTGTGTGTGTGTGTGTGTGTGTGAGACGGTCTACGTGTGACGACGACCCCCCCCCGCACCAGGAATAGGCCACACAATGGCTCGGTGTGACTCGGCAAAAAAAATAACTGGTGGAAGAGGAGGAAGACCAGCGGAGAGGAGAGCCGCTAAACTAAACCTTTTACCGCCACACATCTCCAGGAGGAAATAAGCACTTCACTGTATCAGCGTGCAATCTGTGACCAATTACCGCGTGTGCATAAATGGTAATGCCTCTGCGAGAGGAGATGGGCGAAATAACGAGGAGTGCGCGCCGCGAATGGCTGCCTCCTCGCCACTCTCGTAAAGCAAGTCTACCTCTCCCTCGCTCACTTTCTCGCAGTGTGTATTGGCGTGGAGGGAGAAAAAGAGAAGCGTTTCGTTTCGCCGATGCTGCTTTCCCATTCGGGCTCGATGACTGTCGGCCTTTGTTTTTTTTTAAACACAAAATTGGGTCACAACTACTCTTTCATATCACCTTTCATGAAGGTGATTATTTAATATCTCCCCCCCCCCCGCATTGTGCAAGATGAATTTGTCAGTAATGGATTAATTGAAATCGTGACCATCTGAATTATAAAGAGTGAATGCAGAGACCTGCGTCAGCGGCAAGACACAAATCAAGACTAATGGAGTGCAGGACTGATTGTTAAAGTCTTCGGTGGAAATAGAGGCACAAGAAGTATTTGTGCAATCTGACTGATCATATAGCTAACAACCAACTTCCAGGTTCAATAATATCCATGACAAACACAACTTTGAACCATAGTAAATCAATGCGGTATGTAGCTTCCCGTTGATCGATTTTCAGTGCACGGCATCTGATGCAGCTGTTCCTTTAAATATTTTAGATAAAGTCCACCAGTTTATATCCTGTTGGTGAAAAGTAGATAGCATTTTCTTTCTCTGCTTTGGGACATCTGTTTGAATCAGGCGGCAACCTGTGGTACTGCCGAGTGAAGCCGATGCGGAAGTGTCTTAAAACCTGCGTTCTCTCTACTGACCATGGGGAAGCGGTGACTCCGGTTGCAAAAATAAGTCGGATTGTATAGAATTCTATGAGAAAATGACTCTACTTCTCACTTGATTTATTACCTCAGTAAACATTATGAACATGGGTTTATGGTCTCAATCTCTAGTTTGAAGTCTTCAATACAGCATGATGTTCATTTAATAAATGATGGTCCATTTAGAGTCAAATAGACCATAAAGCAGGGAATGCTTTAGGGCGGGCTTACTGTGATTGACAGGTCGCTGCTGCTGCTACAATATACCGTATACAACATCACTACGTCACTCCTCCGCATTCCAAATATGGTAACTCAAAAAAGCAAAGATGGCGACATCACCGAACTCGAGGCTTCACAAATACAGTTGGTTTAAATCTGGCCACAAACACGTCTTACCTAATGGATTCTTTTGTGAGTGGGTCATAAGTAGCCTGATTGGATACAGTTGATATGCTGATGCCAAATGAGCTGCTTAAAGTTTTTAAGCCGGCGCGCACGGAGATGTACCAAATAACAGCCCACAGTCCTCTTCTCTAGCTGTATGGTTGAGGATTCTTTGTTAGCTTGTTTAGCAGTGGCTACTGATCATAAGTGGTAATTCTGGCAAGCACATGGTAGTAAAGTACCCGCACGAGATGCTGCGTGTCAAGTGCAGTCTGTCTTCACTGGTTGTAAACACAATGTGGGTGTTTTGAATTTACTCCCAAATTGCAAGTCTTCCAATGGCAGAGAGATACTCGCTCTTAAAAAACGGTATTGAATTTATTTGAATAGTTGTAAAAAACCTTATTGTTTGAAGTTTGAAATTCAGAGCATTAATATATCAATAAACACCTATTAGCTATGTAAAGGTATAGTGGAGTGATATCTACCTGAGCAGAGAATTGAGGTCAATCTCCACCAAGCTACACTATAACATTTTACAGCGAAAAAATCGAAATAAGCACCGTAGACACGGGTTTTCTGCACTGCAATTTCTTGTTACTGACATGTACATTGTATATACAAATGTATAAATATCAATATACCTAATATTTATCTATAAAGTATAAATATTAGCCAATGCCCAATTTGTCATGTCACAGCTGCTATATCCATGCTTTTTTGATTTGGATGTGAGATGACAGCAACAGGTCATCCATCTCGTGTTTGTGATGAAAACTGTTCAAAAGCTGCGTCTGTGTTGGACTACGAACCTCTCTTAATATGCAATTAATGCCATAGATCACTGCACAGTAACGCATCGAACGCAGCCTGGATCCTTTCTTAGAACCAGACCAAGCAGAATACACAACTCTATATGGAGTAACAATGCAGAAATAGTTGTAAATGAATCAAAAACATGCCACAGAGTAAATCACATAGACAAAAAAAGTGTCATTCATCATGATACTGCACTTATCAGTGTAATAAAAGAAAGAGGTGTATGTTAGATTTGTTCCCATGGTCACCAGTGCGGCCCTGAGGGACAGACAGCACATCAGCTTAAATACATTCTGACTGTTTGAATAACATGAGGTGCAAATTATGTGTCCGATGTGGAGGCTGTTAGGGCGGCAAGATAAATGGAGCACCCCAGAATCTGTTGAGAAATCGAACACATTTGCGCACGGGTAAAATAAAACGGTCCATAATGGAAAAAACAAAAGGCCGAAAATATCCCCTCAGATACTGAATTTTTAGCTGTTAGGAAACATTAAAACATGGCAAAACATTGTAAAGTGGAACCATGTTTGCTTTGAGGATTATGAGAAAATCCTCTTTTATCAAACCTGTGTGTGTGTGTGTGTGTGTGTGTCGTCCGTGTGTACATGTTGGAAGCGGTTAAAACAGATGCCGTTGAGTGGTCCAACAGAAGAGTGAGTGAAAGGAACTGACTACCTTGTGATAACGCATTCAACTTGTCTACCAACAGGACCCCCTGCTGACACACACTCACACGCACACACTTAAAACCCTCTGGTAATGCAGGCACTCGCACATGAGTCGCATTACATATCATTACAACCTCACTGGCCCCACTTTTAACAATATGGCGGCTGAGGGGGCGTGCTCACAAACATATGTGTAGTTGGCATGCGGATGCAGCCCGGCAAGTGCTGTGCGACAGGAGTGAAGGAGGAAGAAAGGGCAGCACAGAGGGGAGAGCGCAAGAGTCCAAGGCAGCTGCAGGGCTGTGGCTGTGTGCCCCCTGTGTGTGTGTGTGTGTGTGTGTGTTCTCCTCTGAGGGCTGGCACTGACACCACGAAGCCTGCTTTCCCTGGCTGAAGTAGGCCCAGGCCTGCCTGGTGACAGAGAGAGATGCAAGGAGAGGTGGGGGGGGGGGCACCCAGGGTGCAGAGGAGTCGCCCAGTCAGAGTTGATTGTTCTGTGACTAATGTCTCTGTCCGGCGTCCATCTGCTGCCGGGCCCCCCCTACTCACTCGCGCTCACGTCTCCAGAGCCTTGGTGGGATTCTTCTAGTGACCGTGAAACCTTTTCTCTGCTGTGCTCTCCTGGTTTTCACCACAATGAGCAGCTAAAAGTCACTGCAGTCCCGAGGTGCATTCGGGGCAGTGACATTTTCGTCAAATTCATGATCAGAAGTCATTAATCCATCACAGAGTTTGCGTGTGAAGGCCTTCCTAAATTGTAAGTAGCTGCTAGTTAGTGGTAATTTGATATCTCAGATGGCACCGTTAAAACTTAAAGCTGCTGTAATCAATATTTTTATAACAGCAATACTTCAAGTGAGACGTTAAAGGAGACACTCGCACTGACAAACTTCCTTCAGCTCTACAGAGCTTTTTTTTCTTCCTTTGTTCTTCTTTTTTCAAATAGTAAATATTGGCTCACTCGCGATGCTCTCACAGCGTTGTTTTACCCATAGCACGTAACTTTTTTTCAGAGAAAAAGCTCTTAAAAAGCTCTACCTGCGAAGCATTTAGCAGCTAGCGAAACATGATGTTTCCCTCCGGAGTTGGAGACCAAAAACAGAACTAAAGTAAGTTTCATGTTGGTATCAGTGTACATATTTAGCAGTGCTATTTAGTAACACATAACCTTAGGTATGAGCCAGTTTGTGTTGTCCAACCCGTTTCATGGTGTTTAAATCTTGTTAATACTTAAAGCTGCCGTTGCTAACTTTTATAAAAAATATCTTCATATTTGCTCAAACTGTTACTGGTCGTTTTTCTTCGGGGCGTGGTGGAATCTTGCAAATGCTATAATGGTGTGAAAATGGCTTCAGGAGCACTAAAAAGAGGCAGAGGAACCAGTTTGACAAATACGATAAAAAGTTATTGTCGATTGAAGTTACCAACTTCTGCTTTAATTTATAACTAAGCTTTGAACTTTTTTAACTGACTAACAGTTGATGCAGCAGGCTCCAGCTCATTTGAATGTGATCTCAGCTCTCTGGTTGATCAGCTGCCTTGTGGGGAATTTACCTACCTAAATCATTTGCAAACATACACACATGTAGGAGCAGCGCTCACACAACAGTGGAATTTATTTCAACATTTGCATGGTGTGGCACCGGCAGTGCAGTGGTTAGCACTGTCGCCTCACAGCAAGAGGATTCTGGGTATCCCTGTTTCGGCAGTGTTTTTCCTCCAGGTTGTCCAACTTTCTCCCACAGTACTAAGACATTACGCTCGTTTTCATGTTACCCCTGGGTTTTTATAGGGCTTAGGTTCTGTGTAGCCAGTGGGGTATGGGAGGGGGGGTTTGCCCCCCCAAAAAAATTGCTAAGACTTAAAAGTATAACATTTTACGGCATTTTGGACCATTATTATTATTAAAAAGCTTAATGACAAAACTTGCTTTAATTAAAATGATGTCACTTTCACATGTCACAGCCTTCATCTGAACAATTATATCTTCTGGCAATGTTCGCCCCATAAATACATATTCTGTAAATCAGGAGAGCAGATTCAGAAAACCAAATCAGTGTGACATCGCACATTTGTAATCAACTAGTTCCGTTACAAATTCATGTCATTGATTCATTTATCCATATTTTGGGCTCTTTTGGGGCAGCTGAAACTGAAAAAAAAGACCACTTAAGTTTTTGTATCCAACAAGTTGGCTGTTCATACATCCAGCGGACATGTGGCAACATTAACACTGACTTGGAGACATGTTCCTGTCTGTCTGACGAACATTACTCCATTATTTACTCTCCTTTTAGCTCTATTTTGTTCTCCGCCAACTTCTGAGGAAAATCCATCATTCCGCTAAATGCTCCACTATGTTCTCCAGCTAGACTTTGTCTGTTTATCAGAGCGTTCATGCTGAAAATAGCTGCGTGCTGTGGCTGGATACAACATTATCAAGAACTAACAAAACAATGAGCTAAAAGAGCCTAAAAGGCAATGCATACTTTCACCACAGAAAGCACGTTTTCGTTACGATTCACCTGTCAACAATTCAAATACTTTTTCTTCAATTAATACAAGCAGTCGGATAGATCCCTTTTTATTTAGAAAGTGCTTAAAAAATTCAGACTACAATAGTCTATAATCTTTTCAATTCCTTTTGCAGTGCATTACAAGTGTTTTGTAATTTAGAAAAAAAAGGTTTTCACATATCAGCTCTAAGACAGGGCACTTCCTAAATGTCTATGGCATTTTACACTGCATAAATTGGCTTAAGGGCTCACAAACCTTTGCTTTCTCATAGCTCTTCTATTCTTCGTTCAAGCCACTGCATCTCCCGACAGAACAAGCACGGTCGAATTTTAGCCTTCGTGGGTGTTTTTTTTCCTCTCCAGCCCAGCATTGTCTAAACAGAGTAGCTAATATTGGAAATGGGGGCAACTAGTTAGCGGACCGCCTTGTGTGCCTGAGTGTCTGTGTGTGTGTGTCGGTGAAACACCAACATGGGAGGAACGAAACAAGGGCGACAGTAAACATCAGAAAAACGCAGTAAAGACTCGCACTAAACTGAAATGAAACCAAACTTCAGATCATGTTCTGTCGCATCGCGATGGGTCAAGAAATTTCCGCAACCTCCACACGCTCTCCCCCTTCTTTAACCACCAAAGGTAAATGGAAGTAGTATATTCAGCCACATTTTGGTGACATATTGATTGTTGCGAACACGCTGAGCCGACTAATAGACAGCAGGAGTGGTTTGAAAAGTTTCTATGGCTGTTCCGATCATATACAGTATTTCCGCCATTAGAACTTGTCACCATTGTAACTAAGATGATCACAGCGCGTGTAATTCGTGAAGAAGGTAATTTAACTTTTTCACGTACACACAGTTGCACAAACAAATGCACAGAGGAAACAAATCTTGCCGCTGGTGCTCAACCGCACAGCCCAGCTGGATGAATGAGTCCTTGTTTGGATTGTTAAGTGCTGGGGGGAGGGCAGGGAGAAGGGGGAGGACAGCAAGGGTCGGTACGTTGGAGAGGAAACGGAAATGAGGGGGAATACAATAAAGCGTGAAGAAAGAACCAGAGGACAAACTCCAGTAAAAACCCAACAGATCTCGTTCATTACACACGACTCGGAGTCTGTGTTTTTTCCCCCCAGGTGTTTAAAAACGGTCGGGGTTAAAATGTGTCCAAAATGTTGGCTGCTGCTTTACAGGCTTCAGTTGCACGTGTGCGCGTGCACACTGTCAAGTGTAATTGTGTTAAAATTAGCCAGAGAAACACACACACACTGACACGGACTTCACACTGCAGGCTTGTGCAGGCTGTGGCAAGGGACAGTGCATGGGAAGTGTGAACAGTCGAAGAGCAGACAAAATGACATGTGTTCGCCCAAGGAGCTGGCACTGTAATTGCGTGCGTGCGTGTGTGTTTGTGTGTGTGTGTGCGTGTGTGCGTGCGTGCATATGTCAGTGTGTAAGTGTGGTGTGTACTACGCCAACCCTGCTGTTTACTGTGGGGGATTTTAGAAGAATTGTAGGCAGCTGGCAAGCCCCTTCAGTTTCAAATTTTTTTCTCTTCCTAAATCTGCTAGTAGCTTGAGTGTAGTAGTGGTCTCTGTCTATCTGTCCGTCCCTCATTCACTCGCTCCACTTATGTGCATGTGGATTTGATGTTGGGCTACCACAGCGGTTTAACAAAATAGGCAATTTCCGACATGAAAAGAAGCAATAATTTCCCTAGAGCAGCTGGGATGCCGGCCTACAATGTGTTGATCGGGACTTAAAGCTGCACGGGGAAAACATTTACTTGGTAAAAAATATTGACTTAATATCAGTGTGAATCATGGAGTGGCCTCCACAGAGAGAAGAGAATGGCCCATTTCCATTATGTCAAAAAGTGGAATCTAAACCATCTCCTGAACAGCGGCAGTAGAGCAACACACAGAAAGCTGGACTTACCAACATTAGCTCTGTTGCTCAGGGATTCAGGATGTTGAAGGACATCGACAATTGACTCTCGCTATTATACATGATATATAGAGTGGTATCACTGTATGCTGTATTTGTACCTGAAAGCTCATTCTAACTCGCACGTTAAAGTGTCTACTGGCTTTGACTCCCATTTGAAATTCAAATTCAAAAATGCATTGCAGGGCTCTGCGCTAACTTTGGCTACTGGTGCTCCCCACTGAAATTTTTTTGGAGCACCAACACAAAATTTAGGAGCACCACTTAATTGAAATGCAATGCAACACGTGCATATTTTTCCATCTTAACTGTTTTACTGATACAAATTCACAGAAATAACGATGCGCTGTTTTATTTGAAAGAAAAAGCCCCAAAGGGAACTCGTGCTTTTTGCAAAAAGAAATTGACATTAAAAGAAAATTGTGCAGTCGAGCGGACTGGGGCTGCGTGAGTCAACCAAACTGATCAAATCATGAGCACCACACCCACCACAAGAACTATATCCACCGTTATGAATAAAAGGATGTCTGTCATTATATCAATGTCTTTCGCCTGCAATGAGTGTTTCATTGACTATTAAAGTGAGTTTGTCTCTCTCTCGGATGCGCGCTGTCCAGAGGCAATATGCAATTATTACAGCTAATGCAATACTTTCTCTTCTGTTTTATTTCTTCCTTTTAGGTTACCTGCTGTCTGGTGTTGGTTTTGGACCATCTTGCTGAGTCCACAGTCTACCAGCCACTTTTATTATTGTGTAGTTACCATTCTGTATTACCGTTGGCAAAGAAGCGAGCATTAGCATTCAGTATCCAGTTGTCCTCAGCCGGCCGTCCCCACGGGGAGTTAATTATTTCCATTAGTGTTAACGTCAGGTTGAGGTTACCATTAGGGTTTTTAATCCCGTCACCTACTCTGCGTCAAACCATTAGCATTAGCGCTGAGTACGCGTTGACGTGGCAACGGTAGCTGCCAGTATGGATCGCGGTAGCTGGAGCGGCAGCGAGAGTCCAGGGGACGACATGGAGAGACTGAGTGACTCAGGCGGGGATAAGACCATGGACGGGGACCCCGAGGGGGTCTGGAGCCCCGACATCGAGCAGAGCTTCCAGGAGGCTCTGGCCATCTACCCGCCCTGTGGAAGGAGGAAGATTATACTGTCAGATGAAGGGAAGATGTACGGTGAGTAATGGGGGACGGAAAGACGGAGGAGGTGAACTGCCAGAAAATGATGAGAAATGGCCGAAGGCCGAGATGGCCTCTTTAGATTTTTGGTTTAACCCAGCCAAAAGCAAAAATATCCAATTCAAATGAAATAAAACCATGGAAAGCTTGGTATTTTTTCTTGATAAATTGCTTACACAATTACATTTTTTTTCAGTTAAATAGATGTACTTTATGCATTTGATATATACCCCATATATTTTTCATACATAAGGAGCAAACTCTGGAATGAAGCTAAATTACATTACACATGGCGGAGGACACTTGTTTGTGTGTTCATCTAGTGATGCACCATATCAAGATATCTGTGGATTATTTTGATTGTTCGACACAAATTCACACGTTGTGCGTCCTGGTAGAATGTGACATCTTTGCGGCAGTGTTGTGAACACGTCCAGCGATTGGGCACTGCTGCTAAAACTTTGGCTGTGGTGTGTCAGACCGTGAGAATTACTAGTTGCATGGACGTCTCATTGGGTCTCGAGTGTCGGGGACACAGGAAAGGAATGATGGAAGTGTAAAAGAGAGGAAACAGGCGCGCTAAAGGTGCATCATGTGTGCGCATGCATGTCTGAGAATGAGCGTGACGCTGAGTGTGTGTGTGTGTGTGTGTGTGTGTGAACTAATAGAGTGAAGAACAGATGGTCCTCTGGCTGCCACCAGCTGCGCCTCCCTCCCTCTCTCTTTCACTCTGTTGTTTCCCTCTCTCCCTCCCTCTGTATGCAGAGTGCACTTTAGTGATTTCTTCATGACTCCGCTGGAGTTTTAGGCTTCTGAGTATTAAATTAAATCCCAGATATTGCATGTCATTTTTGCCTCTGGACCCTGAGGGATTTAAACACACACTTCTTGGCCAAAAAGTATGTTGAAACCTGAAGTTTTCGACCGTGTGTGAACTGTTCCCATTCGGCCACAGTAGCATGAGTGAGGTCACGCCGTCTGCCTGGTTCACAGTCTGTATTCCAGTTCCTCCCAAAGGTGTTCAGTCGGGTTAAAGTGCGTGCCAGCCAAGTTCTTCCACAACAAACTTGGAAAACCATCTCTTTGAAGCTGCACTAATAAAGCATCAATATATTTATATTAACAATAGGAAAAATCACTATGTGGAATGTGATAAATGTCGGCGAAATCAGATGAAATCGTGCAGCTTTGCCACGGGCCAGGCCGTATTGCTGGGTCCGCTGGAGGGTAAGGAGGCACGGCAGAACCAGGACCAGGAATGCACCGAATAGCCTGTTAGACCCTGCTGCAGTAAAATGAGAAGTTTTCTGAAGGGATTCAGGAGCTCGGAAACACTAGCCCACGGGGGCGGCAAAAATCAACACGTTCGAACAAAGGGCACCGAAACAGGACATACAGTACACTCCATGACCCAAAGCGTGCAACAGTATGTTAGGGACACGGGTGTCCATATACTTTTGCCCCCCCCAAAAGACTCCAAGCAAACATCCATGCTCCTTTGTGTTATTGATTCGCAACCGATCAAGCGGTCTCACTCTCTTCTCTGCCTCAGTTGCATGTTCGGCACTGTTTGTTTACCTTGTTGACTTTGTGTCCAAGTTGTTGACACATTTAACACTGAGGCGTAATTGAGTTTGACAGTGTCTGTTTTCTGAGGCAGAGCAGCGTTTGACATAGAAATCAGCATCTAGTTATGGCTCATGGTGCACACAGCGTGAGACAGGCTCACATTTGACTTTTGCCTTACAGATTTTGCAAGGACAAAAAGACAGTGTGCAAAAGCAACATGCTGAATGCACATAACCTTGAAGTTACTAAGTAAATTCAAAGAAAAATAAATAAAACATCTCCTTGAGCAAAACATTAATGGTGAAATGAGTGGCAGGTGAGTAATTCCTTCAGAAAAGAAAGCGTCAATATCTAATGGGTCGGGAACCTACGCGGGTCTAACCCCCTCCCCTCCACCCCATCCCCCCCAATGGCTGCAGGAAAATGGACTGAAAAAGAAAAGAAGAAGGAAAATGTGCAAAAGTGCCGGGATGAAGTTAGTGGGAGAGAAGCGTAGAGAAAAAAAAAAAAGAAGATAAATGGATGTGTATAAAAGGGAGAGAGGATGAAAAGGTGAATAATAGCGCTTTTATCCTTGGCTAAGGTACGGCAGAGGTACAGTGTAATGGACAGTGGCTTTGTCCCCTACAGAAACATCGTATGGATCCACTGGATGGATATGAAAGTCATTTAATTGGTATTGAACCCTCTCTGTCTCCTAAGCTGTGGATCAGGCACATGTTCAAAATAGATGTATTAGCGAGGGCCACGACACACTGTGAATGGTAATGGGTGAGGCGGCGGTTGCGGCGGCGGCACAGACCACAGATATTTCCCAGACATCTTCACTACAGCCTTATTGGAATATTTGATTCAGTTTTGTCGTATTGTATACAACGCGCCTTTCAAGGAATTTAATTTCTTCTCACTCACATCCTTCATCAGGGCTGAAATGTGAAAAAGTTGCCTGAATACACAATTCAGCAAACACGCAATTCAGCAAACACGCAATTCAGAGCATTTATCTGGCAGCAAAGAACTATTTGCTATGTAAAGAAAGCGGGGTGTCATGGCGTCACTTGCTAACGAGCTAATCACCGTCGCTCTGCACTGCTCTTATATGGCAGTTACTGCCGATAACGGCTTCCCGATGTTAGGTTCAGGAACCTCTCGAAACTGTGGGAGAGCCGCACGTCTTCCAGCCGTGCCAAAAACTCAGCCAGTTCAAATTATGATCAAAAGCATTTAATCTTACAGAAGCTAAAACAATTGCAAAGTTTACAAAATTACACTATTTACACCATCGATGGAAATATGATCCGCGGAAAAGAGTTCACACACGCTCCAACCTGGAAGCTTGATACCTGCAGGATGCAATGCGATGAACTGAACGAATTCTTCCTTTGAATCTCCTTTCATAGTCCGTAAAAGTCATAAAATGTCTGTCTCAGTTACAATTGGCTTAAATCCAGCTGACTCCTCCTTGCTTCAGTCAGCTGACCGCCCTCGGGTGACCATTGGCGCTGGTCAGTCGCTCCTTCTGCGCATCCCTCCCGCTGTTAGGCCCCGGTTGGACTTCCTTCTCCGCTCATGGTGGTCCCTGAAATGCCTGTCTCAAAATCCCTGTCTGTCCCTTGGCTATTCTTCACAGTTTAATACATTCAATGATTTTCTTTTATGGCTCAACACTTCTACGGTAAACATACTGTAACATATTATACATTTGATAAGTATTTGTGACGTTCCAAATACTTTGACATTTTACTATCCACCTCTAGGGGTGCTATAAATCCTACTAAAAAACACTTCTAAACCTACATTCCTCACACCGACCCGCGGCTCTGTCGCGAAAGCGGCGACTCCTGCCCCCCCCCCAGGTTAGCACTGTTAGCTCTGTCAGCACTGTTGCAGTTAGCTGCTAGCCGACTGCTCAGCTCTCGCCATATCGTGAGTCATGGAGGTAGTCCCTCAATCATAGCTTTGTTGTGAATTTCGACTGAGCACCTTTAAGTCTAGCGTTCACTCGCCTGTCATCTCTGTTTTTGGTGTCCACCATCCCGAGCTGTCTCTAGCTAAATGGGTCGCTATGGTCACCAGCTAGTTGCTAACTTTCTGTCATAACCACTTTCTGCTGCTGCTAGAAACAGGGTTGATGAGATCAGATGAGATGGTAAAGTGTCTGCTGGATGTGTTAATCGGCACAAAAAAACAAAAAACACTAAATTGCTCTGTAGAGCTGAGGGGAAATCCAGAGCCACATGAGAATTCTGTGTCACCTCAAGGACAAGGAAATGACCAACATATACAATGAAATCAAAAAATGTTGATATAATAATAATAATAATAATAATAATACATTTTATTTATATAGCGCTTTTCAAAAAACTCGACACTTTACATTAAAATCATCATATATAAAAGCAATACACTAAAAACATAAAATACACAATAGTGGTCACACATTAAAAGCAGTTTTGAACAGGTGGGTTTTGATCTGTGATTTGAATATGGAAAGTTCAGTGCAGTCTCGGATGTGTTTGGGGAGAGAGTTCCAGAGGGAGGGGGCAGATATGGAGAAGGCTCTGTCACCTCATGTCCGGTGCTTGGTCCTGAGTGGAAGAGACAGGAGGTTGGCATCAGAGGAGCGGAGCCGACGGGATGGAGTGTGGTGGTGAAGCAGGTCGGTGAGTTAGGAGGGGGCCTGATTGTGGAGGGCTTTATGAGTGAGGAGAAGGATTTTGTATTGGATCCGTTGTGGGACTCGGAGCCAGTGCTATTTCTGGATAACAGGGGTGATGTGGTCACGGGACCGGGTGTGGGTGAGCAGGCGAGCAGCAGAGTTCTGGATGTACTGGAGTTTATTTAGGATTTTGGATGATGTGCCATGAAGAATGCTGTTGCAGTAGTCGATTCTGGAGGTGATGAAGGCGTGGATCAGAGTTTCAGCAGCAGATAATAAAAGAAGAACAGTATTATACACTTAAAAAAAGTCATTATTAAAAGGAGTTTAAAATATTGTTCATCAGACGGATATAACAAGGCATCCAAAAATGATTCCACAAAAGGTTTTCCTCCTCACATTTGTAACTGCTGTTGACTGATCTGTGACGTTAGTCGACATCAACACCTGTTGCACTCTGCAGGTGACGTCATCTGGCTGCAAATGAATGTCCAGGATTTAGTTATTGTTTAAAGGAACTGGCTGCTAGTTTGTTATAAATGGAAGGCTGGCTGTGTGGTTAGCAGGATCAATGATGGCTGGAGCCGTTGCGCCTGCAAAAAAACGACGCAAAGAGTGCGGCCTCGTTGCTGAATGCTGTGTGATTGACAGGTGGTCTTTGGACGTGCACCACTGTACCAGATGGAGACATAGCGAATGGGGGTTGCCACTTAAAATCACTTAAATGGTCCTGCGGTGGGACTGCCTGGGGAAGCTCGGTTCTGGGCCAGAGTTCGGAGCCCTGTTGTCTGAAGTTCTTAATAACTCTGCTAACTCGGCTCGGGGAGAGATGGTAAATGCTTCTTTGGAAGACCAGGAAGGAGTCTCCAAAAGCCCCCCCCCCCCCAAAAAAAAATTAGGAATGTTCAGGATGCTGCAGAGTTTGATAAATTGCCTATTTGTTTCTCGCAGGTATTTCTGTGTTTTTAATTAGATTAGATGAAATAAGTGGATATTTTTTGCTACATGGTTTTCAATTGCCTTATCTGACTTTATCTGGCTTTATTTCAATGGCTTTATCTGAATTTGGGAATTTCCTCCTCGGTAACTTCTCATGAGCTGTAGATTGAGTCACTTCTTCAGTTTTAAGATTACGTCTGCTTCCTGCTGCTGTTTTTTTGCTCTCAAATCTTAACTTCAATGGCCCAAAATCACAGAACTAGCATGCGAATTCTGTGGGGGGTTTTCAATAGCGTTGAATCCCTCCATATCTGCTCGCACACAGAGCGGCTTCAGCCCGGAGATAGCAACGAGGGGGGGGGGGGGTCGCTTCTGTTCGTCACGGTTAATGACCATCTGACTTTGGCCTTGAAGTCTTTTACTGGGAAAGTAGAGAGAGACAGAGAGAGAGAGAGAGAGAGAGAGGGGAAGAGGGAGGGAGCAGAAGGGAAGCCCATTCACTACAAGAGGGACGGAGGGCGGGGGGCAGAAAGGGAGCAGCCAGAACGGATGGCTGTATGGACGGGCCGTGTGTGTGTGTGTGTGTGTGTGTGTGTGTGTGTGTGTGTGTGTGTGTGGGTGTGGGTGTGTGTGTTCTGGAGAGTTTTTGAGAAAGAGGGAGGGCGAGGGATGTGTGCCGCAGGGTTAGTGAAGGATGATAATTCACCGTTAAGCCTCCTAGAAAGACCAGCTGGCCCCTCTGGAGTCAGATGTCAGCCTCAGCAGCCAGGGTGTGTGTGTGTGTGTGTGTGTGTGTGTGTGTGTGTTTGTTTGTGTGCGTGTGTGTGTGTGTGCGCATGCTGTCGTCAGTCGCAGCTTTTGACTTGCTAGAAGGAAAACACCTGCATGGGGGAAGCTGTAGATGTTATCAGTCTTAAGCTCCCTATCTCAGTGAGAATTGGATTGGTCAGAACACACACACACACACATGCACAAACACACGTGCACGCACGCCATCTGCTAGTTAGTTAGGGCTATTGTTGCGAGCCATTTGGGGAGTGTGTGTGGAGGGGTTTGGCTTTGTGCTGATCTTGACCATCAGTTGGCCAGCTGGCCTGACTTTGGTTTTCCACTCCTGGTCGCGACAGAAAACACACCGGGAGATGATCCAAACCAAGCCGCTGAGCGGGAAAACACGCTCCTTAGCAAATTAAATACGAAAATGAAAATTACGTAATTTCATAAAAAACTGTTTTGATTTTGAGGGTTGCAAGATGCTCCCTCGTCTGAACATATGCACACATGGGTATTCTGCTCCTTTTTCCTCTTCCACTCTGTGTCTCCCTGCCCCTCACTAATCTATGCTAGCCAGGTCATGCTGAGTCTGCTGTGCTCCCTATTGAATGGGTTGAATTATTCAGCATTGTGTGTTTGTGCACGTGTGCGCGCACACATAAGCATGGGTACAGCTGGCCCTCTGGTTCCTTTAATCAGGGGACGGCCGGTCCGCATGAATAGCTGTATTGTTGGGGCATGTGTATTCAGGGCAGTGGTTGTGTGTGTGTGGATGTGGGTGTGTGTGTGTGGTTTTGTGCGCGTGAGCGCTCGGTGGAGGGCTCAAGTGTAAAACCGCACGTCGCCGGGTCAACGGAGCCAAATCAGGCGCTATGGGTTGTATGTCAGGGTCACATGACTTGAGAAGGAAAGATAGTTGAAATGGGGTTTGGAGTGCGTGTGAATATCTCACCGGTGTGTCCTGTGTCTTTTTCTCCATTTAGGTCGGAATGAGCTGATAGCCAGATACATCAAGCTCCGAACAGGCAAGACGCGGACGAGGAAACAGGTAATAATGGGAGTGCGCGCCCGAAATTCAATCACGCCGTCTACGGCATGTATCACAGCATATCACATTATATACAGACGTAATGAGGGGAATGGTGCTAAAAGGCAATGGTTGAAAAGAATGGCTGAAAGAGCTGAACAGTAGTCGTCAGCGGTCGAGTTTGAGGAAAGGATGGATGCAATTTAAAGCCGCACTTTGCCAGTTTTAATGGGTCCATTTTCTATATTAGGAGAAAGTGAGGAAAGGCGGTCTTGAATAATCACTTTGAAAAATAATATTTTACAGGATCTCTAAGGTTGTAATTTTGTTTTTTGAAGTGTTTAACAGGGTCACCGCTGTGCTTTACTGCTTGGTGCATCTTTAAGAAGAAACATTTAAGAATGTGTTGGGGGTTGTTTTGATGTTACCTGTTGTCATGTCGAATGTCTTCCAAAGTTTGCAAGAAATGTCCCTGTCTCGCTTACATTAACGGTTTTCAGCTGTTCCTTCTCACAGTATTTCAGATTTATTGCTGACACTGCAATCCAATGCTTACTGAAGCTTTCACTTGTGAGAGGCACCGCGGCGTTGTCCGCCACAGATGGCGCCTAAGCTACGAGTGCACGCCGTCTATGCTCAACAATGTTGCCGTGTTCTCCGAAACGCCAGAGGGCGTACAAAACAAACATATTCTGTGAAGACGTTTTAATCCAATCCCCTCAATGCAGAGGAAGAATTGTAATTAACTGTGCACTCATCTCATATTCATGGACTACTTTATAACCTTAGAGTAAACTAAAATGTCATACCCTTTTAACAATTTAAATCAGCTGGCATTTTAATTAACTCAAATGTGGATTTCTAAAATCTCCTGCTTTTAAAGCATTAAAAAAATTACTTGTGACTATTTGAAGTTGATACTGATGCATTAATGTGTCCATCGCCATCACATGTGCTGCTGGGTAGCTTTTGAAATGAGAAGTCTAAGTTAAGTTTTGTCATCATTACATTACATCGTCATTTATTCGTAGATTATAGTTTGCATTATAACGTAACCAAAGCGGTCAAACAAATGAAGTGGAGATTTCCCTCTGCATTGTAGTGGAGTTGGAAGTATAAAGTAACAGAAAAGGGAAATCTTCAAGTGCTTAAACATTTTACTTAAGTAAGATACTTGAGTACATATACTTGTACTTTCCACAACTGGCTATACACATATCTCTCTATATTCTAAGATATTCTTAGATGCAAAGAAATCAAAATCACAATGATGTCTTTGTTCAAGTACAAGAAAAAAACCTTAATTTCATGCCACGTCAACAACCACATCAGCACAGAAAAAAAGCATACTACATTGCTGCCTGTGTATAGTCGATAAATTTGAAATGTAAATTTCAACACTTAATCAAGTGAAACTGATATACAGCAGAGGTCATTTAGAAATATAAGGGGGCTTTTGTGCTTTTCAATGCTGCTTTTTGTTAATGGAGGACTGTTAACCCGCTGATATGTCCACATTAGTTTAGATTTCTTGACGGAACATAAAGGGGCACCCTCTGTATGTCGTGTAATCGTAGTATCTTAGTTCTTGGCCTGTGTTCCCAGGTGTCTTTTTGCTCTCTCAAAAGATGTGCATAGATGGGTCTATTCACTGTTGTCAGGGGAGCAGTGTGTGTGGTTATATGTGTGTGTTGAGTGTGCGCGCGCCCTCCCAGTGTGGCAGTAGTCCTTTCATAACCATGGCAACTCACTGTTTGGTCCTTCCTCCTCTCTTTTCTACCCTCCAACCCCCCCTTCCTTCCTTTTACCTTCTTCTACTCTCCTCTCTTTTCCTCTCCTTTCCTCTCCTCTCCTCTCCTCTACTGTTATCTTCTTTACTCCTCTCCACTCCTCGTTCTCTTTTCTTCTCCACTCCCCTCATATCCCCTCATCTCCTCAGGTATCCAGTCACATCCAGGTGTTAGCCAGGAGAAAATCCAGGGAGTTTCAATCCAAACTAAAGGTAAGGTACTTTCTTTGGAATAAATGCACTGTTGACCGCTATGGTTAAACAGAGAGAGAAAAGCGCCACCTACAGAGAGTTAAACTGCTTTAACAGAACCCCCAACAAACAAGAGATCACAGTATTTAACATCAAGTGATCTTTTGGAAAATACAGTGCAAAAATAATGCAGCAAATAGCGCCATGACAATCTAAAACATTCTTGATTAAATAACAGACTTTTACCGTAAATAGTTTAGAAAAAAATCGAGCTTTCCTGAAGCCTAAAGAGGCAATAGGACAAATTTTGCAATCTCACCACATGATGCATCAAATCACTCTGAATGCAGTGTTTATCCCCTGCTTGTTAACTTTTCACTGTGGCTGGATGGATGGCTATCACAGTAACGCCAGTATCCTAGGTATCTAATTAAGCCTGTTAAGGTTGTCTCCTCCTCTTCTTCTTCTTCCTGTCTTTCTCTCACATCCACACATTCATTCATCCATTCCTCTCCTCTTCACCCCCCCTCCTTACACTCCCTCCGCCCTCCTTTCAGTCTATTAATCTCCTGCCCTCCGCAGTCTCCTCCTCCCCTCTCTCTCCTTTTTTTTTTTTCTTCCACCACTGTTGGTTGTAATTAACTGCGTGTAAAGCAACAAAGGAGCGCTTGTTTTCCGAGAAGAGCAGACGGAACTCCAAATGGAAACACGGCGAGGGCTGAATTGATGTTTGCTGTCATAAAGTAAATGACAGCTGGTTGATTAAACGTGATAGGAGAAGTTATTTGAATAGACGTAGATCGAACATACTGACGAGTTATTGGTGATGCAGTGTATGCTGTTTTCTTCAGAATTATATCGGACACCAATGGGAAATGACTACATTGGCAAGAGTGTAGCAGAGTGAATATGTATCATTATAAACCATATTTATGTTATATATTTAAAACATAGCATGTTATTGTATCCAAAGATGTTATTGCATAACTGACACATTTGAAACTATATATAAAGTAGGGACCACAACCTTAATTAACCCAGCCATGTGTCTGAAGTATGTTAACATTTGGTCATGTTAATATTACATTATAGACATATCATTATGCATACAGCTAATTCATATTTTCATTTTCAAAAAAACCTGCACAAGCTTATATTTTAGAATAGCTTGTTCCGTCCGAACAAAAGCCCAAGAGTCTTCACATTTTAAAAGGCTGAAACCAAGACATATTTGGCTTTTATCTTTCTTTTCTTTTTTTGGTTAAAAGATGAGTCTGCCGGCATTCTATATGTTTCCTGTTGTCAGTAAATCCAATGAAATGCCCCAAAAAACAGCGATGAATTGATGCTACCAACAAGTGTTTTGTCTGTGCCATAAAGCGCAATCGTTGTCCAAAGAAAAAAATATGAAAAAACACATCGATGAGCCTCACTGTTGCACTGAGAGACGTGTTCCTTCATTACCATGAACACACACACAGACACACAGACACCGTAGTTTCTTCTGTTGTGCTGCTCCAAACACTCACCAGAGCACCAAATTTGTATTGATCCGCACCTGAAAATAGTCCGAAACAAATGCGCTATTTACTCCTGTTTGAGTAACATTTGATTAAAAACTACAGTGACCAGTTGTTTTCGGAATTTACTGAGATTTTTCTTTTTTTAAAGGACACTTTGTTAGGAACAAATGGGCTTTTATTAGTAAATGACTTGCACGATTAATAGCTTTCCAAAAAAAAGTAAATAAATATTATATAGTATATATTATCAATGGATTGTCTTGCCACTATTGATCGTCAAAATGCTGTATAGTCTCTCTGGTTGTTTGAACATGATGTAAGAGCTTCTCCTGCTCTTGGATTCCCCATTAAAACCAGAACACATGGGCTGGTGGTTTCAAAGAAATGAGTTCAGGTCAAGGATGTTATCAAACCCATATGGCTCCTGGTATTTAATATGAAAATCCAGCATGATTCCCATCTCGGTGCCTCCTGTAATGTTATTACTTCCCCTAGGAGGAGAGATTTCTCTCAGTGCCAATTAACTTGAGTGAAGCTGCCAATTAGTGATTCTCCAGCTATTCCAGCGCCTCTAATTCCATTTCATTCAGCTGCTTTTTCTGCTCCGAGGATCGTGTCGCTTCAAGTTCAGACGTTACAAATGAGCCCACATGTTCAGACTTACTGTAAAATCTTCTGTATGGATCCTTTTTTGTTTTTCTGCCCCCGAGGCGGCGCCTCCCCCGACCGGTGTAAAACGCGTTTAGCTCGGCCGCACGCTTTGTGCTCATCGCTGTTGTTGCTATGACTTCCTCCCGGAGTCACAAACCGGAGCGCCACACCTACATAGACCCACACACACACACACACACACACACACACGAAGAAAAGGGTGTACTGCCTAAATCCTCTTCCTCATCGCCGAGAGATATTTTTAGGGTAAACAAGGGATTTAGACATAAAAAACATATGGTCCAACACTTATTGTTGTCTGATTTTTTTTGCTGATAATCAGAAAGGCAAAACAAGGTCAAAGTCTTTAATCCCATGTGAGCCAGTTGAGCCACTTCCAGCAGGAACCTCTTGACGTTTGAAAATGTTAAATACTGGATGCCGACGGCAGGACTTTTGTCCTGATCAAGATCGTCGTCAAAAGCTGCGTCACTTCCTGTTTAGTTTCCTGTTTACTTCCTCAAAAGCCCTGTACAATAGTTAGTGAAATACCCTCTGGCGTTTCTCCATTCAGGCCTTTGGTTTTCTTCAGGATTTTAAATTTCATTTCTCGAGAAAATTGAAATTGTTCAACCTAATTTTATATTAACTTTCACTTTGGGTTTGGGTTGTGTAGGGCCAGGATGTAAAGTGTGTTCACGATGATGGTGATAATGTTTGTGTGTGTGTGTGTGTGTGTGTTTTGTTGCCGTGGCAGGACCAGAACACCAAGGACAAGGCCCTGCAGAGCATCTCCTCCATGTCCTCGGCCCAGATCGTCTCGGCCACCGCCATACACAGCAAGCTCCTGCCTGGAATAGTACGAAGCAGCTTCCCCAGCACCGCACAGGTAACACACACACACACACACACACACACACATACACACATGCACACTGTATTTATCCTCTCCAAATGGACATAGAAAACACAAGGACATGAATAATGATACAACTATTTTTTTTGTGCTACCCGGTGGCTACATATGTGTGTTTGTGTGTGTATTCTTTAGCTGTGGCAGGGAATGATTCCTGGAGGACAGTCCAGCTCCACTACAGAAGAGTAAGTCACAGTCATATCTAACTTAAATATAATATTATAAATAAAACAATACATTTCTCCTTTATTAAGATTCTAAAAACCTGCCATCCTGCCGTTCTTGATATCTGACAGTGGTGTCTGTTCGCGGTAGCTAGTCGGGATCATTGTGCCTAAACTTTAAACCCTCTTCGCTTCAGTGCCAGGTGCTGTTGCATGACCATGTGATGATGATGATGATGATAATGGTAGTAAATGGGGGCTGGTATGGCTTTGTACTGAACTCAGAGAAGCTCTTGACCTTTGTGCCCTGCTACTGTTCATAAAGGAGATGAGATGTATCTCTCTGTGTAGCGTAGGCACAACGTGACTGGCCCCACTGTGTCTCCTCTTCTTTCAGCATTCTTTTTCTAACGCTCTCCCATCCCATCTTGTCTGTGTGTCTCTCCGTTTCTCTCAGCATCAAGCCGTTCTCTCAGCAAGCCTACCCGGTGCAGACAGCGGGGACCACCACCATCTCAGGTGAGAGAGAGAGAGAGCGCGGGACCAATTATCTGCTTTCTATGAACAGGCGATCCTCTTCTCTTGCTGCCATTTGGGCCACTAGCTCTCTACGGGGTGTTATTTTTCTTTTCTTGACTCTTGAGTGGGCACCCGGGTCTCCAAGCGCGCCCCCGGGCTTCATCTTGTGAAGAGGGCAACAGAGGAGTGGTTTCAATCTGACTTTTTTCAGAAAATAACCTTATTTCTTACAGTTTCTAATCTAAAACCATTAAAGTTGGACTTAAATGAACATACATTTTGCTAAGAAATATATGTCGTCGATTTATTTGATTAATTACCAAAAACAAAAATAGTTTTTATTTATTTATTTAGGGCCCCCTACCTCAGTGTAAATTTTAAGCTTTGACTGGCAATGTAGGTACTGTAATTTGCTGTCACTTGATTGGTGGGCGGGATCCCAAAAATTGCTTATAATTTCACTTCACTTCCATCACACACACAGGCAGTTAACCAGCACTGGGAGGGACGCTGCTTAATCCCCATCTGTGATTGAGCACTTTGGTATATACCTACGTCACCCAAAGACTCAAGTAACGACATGGCGAGAGGCTTTTTGTCAATGGAGTTTTGAGTCTGCACCCAAGAGAATTCACCGAGTCTCTCAATGTATCGTCGTTACATCTACTTTTGTTAACTGCCTCTCAGTGCTGCACCCTCCCCTCAGCCAGGCTTTTGTCTGCGAGACTCCAGTGATGGCATACATTTTACATGAGTGTAGCAAAGAACAATGCTAGCATTACTGCTAACCCTGCAAAATAGCATGACTGTACACGATGGTGATGTTGTGGTGACACTGTGTGTGTGTGTGTGTTGTCTAGCCTACGAGCCTCCCACTGCAGCCCAAACGCACAGAGAGCCGGCGTGGCAGGGTCGCTCCATCGGCACCACCAAACTACGACTGGTAGAGTTTTCATCTTTTCTGGAGACACAGAGGGACCAGGAGGCAGTGAGTCTGACACACACACACAAACACACACACACACACACACACACACACACACACACATACACAGAGCACCAGTCCACAATAAGCACTCCCTATTGTCCCATAAACAGAGATGACAGATAACCCCACAGCAGAGAACAGCATTAAAGCCCTTTGTGTGTGTCCTGGTATGAATAACCTTTGTAAAGCTCTATCTCTCGCATCGGCTCAGTCTATCTGTCATCCTGCCACACTCTGGACTCGCCGTCATTTTTCCACCTTGGGCTCACGGACAGCCGACATTCATCTTGTCGCAACTGTTTGGACAGTTAAAAACCTCGAGCTGCTCCACGTTGACTTTTAAAATAGACTCTTGTTGTCAAAGGGTGTCACGCATCATTTACACAGTAATGTAATGGTGGCGCCTTTGCAGTGATATGTGTAATTTAGCTAAAATGGTAGGCAAAGGCAAAGACGACTGCAGTTGCAAGCAGGATCATTGTAAAAAAGGGAAATTCAGATAATTCTTTTAGTTAAGGCTGAACGATTTGAGACAAATATCGAATCATAATTTCAAGTCATCAAATCTGTCTTTTTACATAAAACATCTGGTAAAATAAAGAAGTAACTTTGTCCTCAGATTCAGCAACCCATTATAACAATAGTGTTTCATTTGACCTTCTTGTACATTGGTAATAATGTATGTTATAATTCAAAGTGTGGCTTTTGCAATTTGAAAACTGCACTCTTTCAAACGGCAATTCTCGACATGACAATATTAAATCAATCAGCCTAAACATGGGTCTAGTTTAGTAGTTTCGGCCACAGTTACAATAACAACTTACTCCACAAGTTAAAGATGCTTTGTGGAGTTTACTTGTTAACAAACAGTTGTTGTTCACATTCAGTGTTTCTGACATCGTGTGTATTCTTGAGGCCTTAAAAATGCGTTGAACATCATTATAAAACATTTTGGATGTTTATATTATTACATTTTTGATGTACATTGCTCACATCAATGTTTGCTAGGGAGCAGTTTTCTTCCTCTCCGCCTTTGTTGGTGCATCGCTACCTTTTTCTATTAGAAAACCACAGGCAGGAATCTGTATCCATCTCTGCTAGTAGAGCTCGAGTTACAAACAAAACCGGGGTTATAAAAAACACTGCTCCATACTGCCGCTAGTGGTCAAAGCCGTCATGGGACACCTTTAACTTCTGAGATGTGGGGACACAACAATGTTACATCACGACCTCTGTACTCTCGTAACCACTCATGTTTCGTGCCCTGTTGGATTCTTGTCCGAAAGACCAAAAAAATCAGTTTACAGTTGTTTTGTCTCTGTGGACCAAACGGAATTATTTTGTCATTGCTCTCACACAAAATGCATCCAATGACCACATTTTCCAAAATCCATCCACTCTTTATATTCACACTCCACTGCGTACAAAACACTAAATATTTGCAATATCAAATGATAACCCACTGTTTTCAAAACCATCAAATACATATTAAAACCAGAATGAGGGCAAATTCCATGCATTTCTGCAGCAACCATATTGAAATGTCAGGAAAATCTTAGCAGAATTTTTACAAAAAAACTGATGATAATCGTTCCAAACGCAGTTCCAATTTCAGCTTCAAGCTTTAGTCTCTCTACCAAACAGACAAGAGGGGACAATAAGGTAAAAAGGGTGTTATTCTTTTTCTATAATGAAATACGGATTTAAAGAGACTCAGTGAGAATTGTTATGGTCGAATGAGCCTCTTCATTCTGAGATACCTACGAAGCGTCTTGGTGGTTTGAGTGAGTTTTGGAGGGGGAATTGAACTGTTTGGCCAACGTGCATGTTGGTAATGCAGACTGTACGAGCATTTTTGAAGAAAGTGGCCTCAGTATTGATCAATGCTTGTTAGCAAAATGTAGGACGGACAAAACTAAAGAATTACTAAATAAACTAGAATACTAAAGAACTAAAGACCCTGTTGTAAAAAAAAAAAAAAGGATTTTCCTTTAATCTGTTTATCCATCTGTCTTATTTTGTTGTTGTTGATCAGCTGTTTTCTACCCGTCATCACTTTCTCTACCTCCGTCCTTAAGCCTAATTCAAAGTTTCCCCCTTCATCCTTCAGTACAACAAACACCTGTTCGTGAACATCAGCCAGAGCAGCCTGAGCTACAGCGACCCGATGCTGGAGTGCGTGGACATCAGGCAGATCTACGACAAGTTCCCCGAGAAGAAGGGCGGCCTCAAGGAGCTGTTCGCCAAGGGCCCGCAAAACGCTTTCTACCTGATCAAGTTCTGGGTGAGCAGACAAACACTGACCTGTTGATTGTTTGTTTTCTTTAAAAAAAAAAAAATTTCAAGGATCATTTACTGTCATTATGCAACACGGGGATGCACAACGGAATTCAGTCGTAGCCCAACAAACACTTGATAAACAAAACAAAAACAGTAGTGCATTTTTGTTTTTAAATTTGCATCATAAGTAGTGTAAACAGCAGCAACAAAAACAATTGTCTGGACAGATAATATGGCCGACATCTTCACAAAAACAATTCAACATGAGGAAATAAATGGTTAAACTGATGTTGACTGACTGATGTTTGAGCACCAAGCATCATGATGTAATCACAGAGTACAGCTCCTCTCATCCTGCTAGTCCTGCTCTCTGTCATGCTGTCCTGTGGTACGCCCGTCAAGTGCAGCTTGATCCGGGATGAGTGATGGAGCCAGGTCTGAAGATGTGGGCTCAACAGTCACCGGCCTCCCACTGCTTTCATCCATCTTACTTTCCTGCGACCGGACATCAGATAGCCAGCAGTAGGCTGGGTAGTGAAGTAGCCTGAGGTCCTAGCTGGGTTAGCTTAGCTTCCATCTCGGCTCTCGTTCCTGGGCCAGTTTGGTGGCGTTTGGTCTGGCTGGTTGGTCGGCCGGCCGTGGAGCGGTGATCGTCTCAAAGTCCGCTGCACTTTATCCCCACGCTTCCTTTTCAGATGTTGACGAATGTATTCTTTCATATGCCATTAGTGATAAACAGGAGAGAAAGAAAAACACGAAAAAAATACAGGCCGCAAATAAAGACACAATGTAGCGAAATTCATGGGGAGCTACATGGCAGCATGTATGTACACAATGTACATTTCATTTTGTTCCCTCTTCAAATACCAGCTTCACATCCATCCGAAATAATTTAGCCCTCACAAATTGGACAATTGTTTTTCTTAATTTTGTTTTTGAAATATCCCGTACCCCACTTTTCCTGTATTTTTCCATCCAGTGCCATGTCTTTGTCTCTACTACTCTGTGTGTGTGTGTGTGTGTGTGTGTGTGTGTGTGTGTGTGTGTGTG